AAGTCAAGGTAAATTTTGCTTCCATTTCTAGCAACCCTCATTTTCCATTACCCAGGTCATGTGACCTGATATTAGAAGACAATGTTGTCGTACATTTACAGTTTAATTCTTTCTATAAGTGAAAGTGTCTCATGCACATACCAGGGTCCTCCTGGACTACGCCCATACGTGTCAACCACAAACACTTATTCACAGTGACATTGGTGTAAATATCCAATTTTCGGGGCGGGGGATATTTTAGCTCCAAAAAAATCTATATTCCTACATAGTGAAATAAATAATGATGTGCAATTAGGATGCAGCTATTTAAAATAAATGAAACAGCCACTATAAATTTAAAAACAAAATGCTTCCACTGAACTAAATGCAGCATTTTAAATAAATAGTAATAAACTTTTAACATAACCATGTAATATGACTATGATAAATAAAGGGATAAAACATAAAAAGTCCCCAAGTGTGATATTATTATTATTATTATACAGGATTTATAGAGCGCCAACAGTTTGCACTGCGCTTTACAATATAAAGAAGACATTACAATCACATGACAAGATGTTCGGAGGGCCCGGCCCGACCGTGAGGGCTTACAATGTCTCTTCATGCAGAAGGAAACTTTGTCAAAGATTTCAGATGAAATTCCTCCATGTGATCACCATCATCACATTGTACGCAAAACTCACCAAACGAGAGAGAGATTTTATTACAGAAGGCCAAACATGAACAGTGGTGACTAATGGCTGCCACCAAATCAGTACCACAGCTGAAATGTAGCACACAGAAAACAGATGTAGCGTATACTGGACCATACCGGACGCGTTTCTTTACTTAGGGGGTCTATTTATAAACAATCTGCAGAGCCATTTACTTGGCAAATCTCTACAAACATTCGTTCTGCGTAAAGAGAGGCCAAAACAGACGCTACCTGCAAAAAATAAGTCAAGGCAACTGGACTTGCTGTATTTTTCTTGAAGACGTTTCACTGGTCATCCAATCAGCTTTCTCATTACAGAAGCTGGTTAGAGGACCTTCAAGAAAAATGCAGCAAGTCCAGTTGCCTTGACTTATTTTTTGCAGGTATGCCATGACCTGGATGAATGAGAACCTTCACAGACAAAACAAACATTGTTAGTATATTTTCTTTTCCGTCACATGTAATGTAATACTGCATTATGGCCACAAGATGGAGCCGAGGAGCACAGGAAAGACATTTTCTATGCTCCTCCGCCCCATCTTGTGGCCAAAATTCAGTATTACATTACATATAGTATTATACTGCTAGCGCCGCCTTTTTCTGTTTTGTGCTAATCTATGGATTTATGGATCGTGCTCCATCTGTCTGGGTGCGGAGAAGAACCTACCGGTATGAAGTACTGATTTGAGACCTAAGAAGTACTGATTTGGTGGCTGCCATTACTAACCCTCTGTGCATTTTTGACCTTCTGCATATAAAAAGATCCCTCTCATTGGGTGAGTTTTGCTTATCTTTTGGTGGTGGATGGTGATCACATGGTGGTTATAATCTGCAATCTTAAAAAAGGTTTCCTTCTGCGTGAGAAAAACATCCCTTTGAGGGACTTGTTGTGTTGTATCACTTTATCACTTTCAGATTACTTTGCAATAATTAAAGTATTTTACTATTTATTTTACACATCACATTTAATTATATGGAAGCTGATTTTTTTTTTCTTACATTTATTGGGATTATGTCCTTATACCGGCACCTTGACTTCCACTTTAATACACCAAGGACTGTAAATCACCAAACATGCCCCCTCTGTATGCGGAATGAATGGAGAACCTCTTTAGTTTAGTACATTACACGGCAATTTCCTTCATGCCACCACAATAAGGCAATAAATCTCCGGAATCCCTGTGTGATATAGTTTAAGTTCCCTTTAGTCCAGCTATTTTTATTATATATTTACAGCCTTATATTCATATTTATATCTGCATCTATACATGTTTTATTCACACAAACACACATATTAAGTCATATAAATAAAACACGTATATAGACAGAATATCAATATTATATATAAAGTTAAAGACTTTGTAGAAAAAAAAAAAAAAAGACAGATTTGACCCAAACTGGCTTTGATTATGTCACAGATCTCTCGCTGTTGGGTGAAGGCAAAATGCTACGTAGTTAGGGGCGGAAATATACAGAAGATCAATGGATTTCCTACAATCCTTAGGTGTATAATAAGATGGTGACGCCGGGCTTTACTGTGGCAGTAGAGGGGTCACTAATGGATGCGGACCACAGCTGGAAAGGCCGGCCTTGTGTCATATACAAAACTTTCCAAAGTCTCATTCAGCCCTGTACTATAATAGGGGTTGTAAAGGGGAGAAAAAAAAAAAAAGGTTTATTGCCTTTAAATCTCCTCTACTGATTGACAGCAGGCAGTGGGCGGGTGCAATAGCCGGCCAGCTATTGGCTATTGCCATTTAAAATAACCAATAACAGGCTGGCTATATGCTCCCAGCCACTGCCTGCTGTGTTGACATTCAGCTGCCTCAGTAGCCGAATCCAGTGAAGTGGAAAGGTGACACTAGGGGGTCTAAAAGATCACTGTAAAGAGAACCTGTCACCTCCAATGTGCCATCACTTGGGGGAAGGGGCTCACAAACCCCCTATGTGATAGCAATGAGGTAAATTAATTTTTTTTTATTTATATCAAATAAAATTAAAAATCCCCCACCCAAAATTGAAAGTCCCCCAACCCCGCAAACGCGCGTATACTAACGGAAACACAAGTCGGGTGCACCTACATAGAAGACCGACTATTGCGCTACACATGTCAGGTATTGCCGCATTTTTTATTTTAAATTAAGGATTTTTATTTTTTTCTATTCGATCAATCGAAAAAATAATCGTTAGTTGCAGCCCTGGCGTAAGATCCTTTTTCGGAGTCCATTAACCCTTTTTCTCTGCCAGAGACTTATTTGCGTTTTTTGCAAAAAATGTTATAATCCACCTTTTAGGCCTGAAAATTATGTAACCCCCAGAATTATATATTTCCCTAAAGCAGAGACCCTGTAGAATAAAACCGAGGCAGCTGCATATTGTTACTTCGCATGATATTAGCGCAACTCCCAAAACTTCAGTAAATATACAATTTTTTTGTAAGATATAAAAGATGAGGTTGTGCCAAGTAATAGCCAACATGCCAAACTTAAAAATTGTGTGCGCCCGTGAAACTGCAAAAAATAAATACGGTACCCCAAAACTGTCCAAAGGCAACGCTTTAAAAGTCTGTACAAGTCATCAGTTTAGAGATATCTGGATCCATTGGCCCTAGAATTATTTCTCTCACTCTGGCGCACACGGCTATACCCAACATGTGTGGTGCACAACGTGATCATCGTATACGTATGGAGGCGCACTCGAATTGTGTTTGCGTTAGTATGTGTGTGGTCACAGGGACGGGGAGTTTTTTTAGATTAATTTTGCTCTCACAATCCCCTATGTGATAGCATACTAGTGGTGACAGGTTCTCTTTAAGGTGAAATTAGGGGTCTATAATGTCACCCCCCTAATGTCACCTTTGCACTTCAGTGAAGCTGATCAAGCCAGGGAATGACAGCTCAGAAACTGGAAGTGACACGATCAGCATCGTTTCATTCAGTGGGGAGGTGGTCAGCGAATAGACGTTCCCTGGTCTCTCCCCGCTACCAGCTGACACCAGTCTAGGGCCCACGGAAAGGTCAAGATGGAGGGTGCTGGACGGGCAGTTTACGGGCCCCTGGAGACAATCAGGCCATCCTAACCCCTTTCAGTGTACAGTCAACAGTCGGCTTTACATAGGAAAACAGACTCCCAGAGGCTATAGTAAGGCCTCATTCACACAAGAAAAGGCCGGCATGTACAGCTCAGTGCTGCATGCACGGCCGTATCGGGCAGCTCCCGGGAAGCACAGGTGCTGCGTGTGATTAGTACGCAGACCCTTTCCTTCTCTATGGGACTACGCGTCTGTACGCCGCCCTACGCTGACCCCAAGTGCAGGTCCATACGGGTGCGGGTGTCCCGGCTCGGACGCAGACAGGATCCATCCCGTCAGCGTACGAGTATGGACGTGCAGGGCAGGTGAGCGTAGGGCGGCGTACAGATGCGTAGTCCCATAGAGGAAGAAAGGGACTGCGTACTAATCACACGCAGCACCTGTCCTTCCTGGGAGCTGTGTGAATGAGGCCTAAGGCATACTTCATTGGCAGCTAAAGGCTTAAGGGACACATGAATTCTTTCACCTTCAGGTTATACTGCCACCTACAGGAAGATTGGACACCGGCAAGCAAAAAGAAAAAAACTGTAGGCCAACCCAAAATAACCCCTCCTACTACCAGCATGCCTCAGTAAATATACATTTTCGTGGAGCTATCCTTCAATACCGGGTTGTCCGAGCTGTATATATGCCTAATGTCAGTCTTAATAGAAGATGGTATTATGTGAACAGTCCAATTTTTTTACATCGCCCGCTGCTATACACATGCGCATGGAAAGTCTTACCCAGTAAGGCAGCAGAGAGAGCTGTGTTCACAGATTAAATGTAGTAACTCATAGCAACCGGTTTTTATGAGCTGTACCAATAACGAATAGTGAAAGCTGATTGGTTGCTATGGGTTACTTGATTTGATAAACTGGCCTGTATAGGTTTTAAGACTACCAGACCAAGCAATGAGAAGATGGAAGGGTGTAATGAAGGGTTCCTACTGGCCGCATATCACCGATATTCCTATATTAGCATCATATATAATTTTCTTATTTACAAGCGCACAGTGCTATCAAGTGTTCCCTTATCCAGTCCAATTTACAAAGGCGGCTACGTGATATAGCTACGGCCTAGTAAATTAAATAAAAAAAGAAGCTGTATGATGTATTTTTGCTCCTGGCACTTTCCCGATGGGGAAAAACTAGCCCAAGGCCCCAACACAGCTTTCCAGAAGTAAGAAAATGCTAGAGCAACGCGCTCGTCTCAGCCACCCTCACACGCGGCTAGATCCTCTTATATACATATAGGTATATTTACACTTCCATGTTTCTGTAGAGAAAGTGATAAGTGCTCGTGTTCTGCCTCCTCCGGGCTCAGTTCTGACCATCATCCGGCGTCATTTGGTCCTGTAGATATAGGGAGAGGTTCCCCCGTGACGCCCCCTGCTGTTGAGGAGGACTGTGAGGCGTGCGCAGTGAAGGAGGGACCGTGGAGGACTTGATTTGGATGACTCTGGTGTCCATAACCTCGCAGTCTATCTGCATCATGGTCTCATAGCCTTTGGAGTTGTTGTACACGTTGTCTGTAGGGGGCAGAAGAAGAGGTAAAGAGAGAATTCAGTGAGGTAGTAATAGGGAACGACACAAGGTCTCACTACTAGAAGTGTCTGAAAAAACGTTTTTGGCTTCCTATACCAGCCAATCAGAGCTTCCATTTTAGGCTTCTTAGACATGGGCACTAGGGCCGGTTCACACACCAAAGTCTGCATTCCAGAGCGTTCGGCCTCTGGAACGCAAGCCAGCCGGCTGCCTACGTTCAGGGGCGTGACAGGGTGTGGCGGTGCATTGTAGTCAATGGCACAGCAGCTACGCCCCGCGCCCGCAGTGCGATCGCCAGCACCCGGAACGCAGGCACATTAGTGCCTGTTTTCCTGCAGATCACACTGGAACGGAACGCAGGCACTAATGTGCCTACATTCCGGGTGCGGCCGATCCCACTGTGGTGCCATTGACTTCAATGCATCCGCCATGCCTCCTCCCGCCCCTGAACGCAGGGAGCCGGCCAGCTTCCGTTTTGCAGAGGCCGAACGCTCTGGAACACAGACTTTGTGGTGTGAACCGGCCCTGAATGTGGATGTGTATCCGGTGCTTATGTGGCTCTGCATTCAATCAGCTTCCCAAGCAAGTCCCACTGGAAAAAAGGATTAAGTGAATAGGTCTGAACACTGCTGGAGGCAATTATTATGAGGAGCTGCACTTCTCTCTCTATGATTGTCGTATTAAGTAGTTCACCTCTATATGCGGTTTCATGTCTGACTTTTATAGGGCACTTAGCAGACTTGGCAACATGTGCAGCACTTGCAATGCAGGCAGATCATGGCTGGTGGGAGGGGTCGGCAGGGTGCTGTACATAGCTTCCTGAAAACATCACAGCACCCTGCCTCAGTACTCCGCAGCCCTGATGCAAGCAGTGGGCTGACGCTTGGTAGGAGTTATGCCAATATCAAAATGCCTTAAAGGTGATGCTGAGCCTCCATTTTTAAAGGAACCGACATCCAATGAATAAAAGGGGTGGGCCAGGGACAGTCAGGCTGGGAAGAAAAGCGCTAGATGATGCTTGACATCCTCCAGTCAGGATATGAGACGGACTCTATCTGACTTACTGCAGTTTCTAATTGCACATTGTGAGAAGCTCAGAGTGTGCAGTGAAATCGTTATCAGTACAGCAGAGGAGCCTGTACAACTGTGCAAGACTGAAGGGAAAGCTAGAGTTCAGCTTTTAATGCAGACCTCAACAGACACGTATACCTTACTTTTGCTCCCCTACTGATTAGTTCAGCCAACAGGAGCAAAGGGAAAGCCCTGTACAATACACAAGTTGATGTAGTTGTATCTTACACAAGGCTATGTGTGTGATCGCACTGATTGGTCCAGCGGTGTCACATGGTGTCAGTCACATGCTGTTCCATACTTAGCAGTACCAGGTATTTCCTTTGGCTCCAGTGCTGTGCTGCTCCATGGAGGAGACTGTACAACTGTACTGAAGATAAGGCGGGAGTTTGGCTTTACACCAGCAGACAGCATCTACTATCTTATGGACGCTGGTGAGATCTGTGCTGCGTACCCGGGTTCTGCACGCCTGCTGTGCCCATTATAAGGGGATCCCCCATACCGGCCGGGATTAATATTTATTACATATTGTGGAGACTGTAACAGGAGGGGCAGAAGGAAACTATACCTGAGAGATCTTGCTATGGGAGTATCCAACACATACAAGACGTCAGGAGTATGTGTTGGAACATTCACCCCTTACACTCGGTCACTTACCATTCACAGGCAAGGCTGGCATCACCAGAGTCATTTTAGGCCGAGATGTCTTGTTGTGACTTATAGCTGGCAAGAGAAGATGATCCTGAAGAAAAAAATATGAACCAATTATAAGGAGAAATCAGTGAAAAAACAGAACACAGAAGAGACGGCCACAGTACTGACCCTCCGGAATGAGACCACATAGAAGGTATCTTCCCGTCTCTCGATGGCGTCCATCAGGGAATGATCGCTGTGCTCCTGAGGACCGAACAGCTGCAGAGGAGCATTCGCTATCCTGTGAGATAGAACAGGGATCAATGAGAATATGCGGTCAGCTGACAGGATCCATAGAAATAGAATCGCAGTTCTCCACAAGTACATAACTCGAACTAAAGCAGCTGTTAAAAGAGAACTATGGGGTAAGTGGTTTTCCCCATAGCTCTCTTTAGGGTCATGGGAGGACATATACTAACCTCCTCCCGTGACCCAAAGCTCAGTATATAGTTGGCTATTGCCCGCGATATACTGAGAGTGCCGCAGCCGGGACGGATCCCGACAATACTGTCTGGATCCACCCAGCTGCGTGAGTGACAGCTGGCTCTGCCTATCTAGAGGCAGAGCCAGCTGTACCCGCCCCTCCCTCATCCGTTCCTCCAGTCAGCGCTGGAGGATCAGAGAGAGTGGGGGAAACCCTGCGGGGAGCGGTGACCGACAGTCACTGTTCTCTGCAGGGAGATGATCGGAAAGTTGAACGAGCGACGGAATGTGTTCGCTCACTTCCCGATCAATAGAGCCGACCTGTGACAGCTTCGTTGTCACAGGTCGGCTCTAACTATGAGGATGAGTGGAAATCACTCACCTCATAGTTCTCCTTTTAAATCTACACCAAAAAAATCCCAGCGCTGAAATAGTTACTCCTCTTAAGCAAAGGTAAATGTATCCTCCAACATCGTTTATACTCTGAAGTGATCCAAGATGTCTGGAGAAGCCATGTGCACAGAACATTCACTCTATGACCCTTTAGGAGTATTAGTTAGTGTAAGTGGGGTTGGTAGGTACTTACCTTCCCATGGGAGGAGTAATCCTATTTCAGCATCTTTGTCGGATCTAAATTCACAAAATGACCAGTTTCTTTGCAAGAATGTGTTTAAAGGATACGTTCACCTTCTCACAATAAAAAGAAAAGTTGAACTAACTCAACCCCCCATTGCACTTTTCTGCAATGATGACCCTTGCCCGCAGACATATCTAATCTTATAAGCCTGGCTGGTGACCTGCCTTCTCCACTACAGGTAAGGAAAACAGCTCATCACATCCCTGCTCCATCCAGATGACTAGACAATAAGGAGCAGTAGCATACAAATGAGGTCATCTATCTGTTCTTTGCTTCTTCGGGCATGTTCTGGACTGAAGACAAATAGCGTTGTACAGTCCAGGAGAGCCTGATTGGCTCTATTGCCTTCCTCTCTCAGTGTGGAGGCTCATGACATATGCAGGTTCTTATGATGAGATCAGTTTCTAATGAACAATGAATACATTGGGGGGAATTTATCAAAGCAATTGTGACAGTTTTAGCCTCTTAGATCATTTTTTTATGTGCAAATCTGTCTTTTAACATGTGTGTCTGTTTTGACCTGAGCTTGCACTACTTCAACTGCACGTTTTTTTGCACCTGTTTTCATCTGCACTTGTTCTGGGCTGTCTGAAACTGGAGCATCACCTAAGAAAACAATCACAACTTAAGAAGTCCCCTAGACCATTACTTCAAGAAGAGACAGTTAAGCTTTTTGCCTGGAGTTACAAGTCTTCTTTCCTGGAGTCTATTAAACCTCATTTATGAAGAACATTACACTAGCTTGATAAATCTGGTGCAAATATATTCCGTGCAAGTTCAAACACTCGCAGCTGATAAATTCCCCCCATAGTGTTTCAATTTTTGCTTAAAGTAACACTGAAGACAATGCTGGACAAATAAGAAGATGAAGCGTTGCAGACCAACCTATGTGACTGCATTCTGGTCGTGTGAGCTGGGACCAGGTCTGATATGGCCACGTTGCTCCGTACCTGAGGATTCTGGGAAAGGAGAGGCAGAGTAGTTACACAGCATTCAGGCATCTGTAATTCCAATTTCCATGCTGTCCCTTCACCTACTTACCCTTATTTTCCTCTGCTTTTTTGGAGGATGCTTTCCTGTCTTCCTTTCATTTTGATGTCGACGAATCCACAAGCTGATCTCATCAGCTAATCTGATTTGTAGAAATGATTGACATACACAATATGTGATGACAAACATAAAATGAAAGAAAGAAAATTCCTTTTTTTTCTATAATCCTAACCCAGCTTGTGCAAACAATTAAATGATCGATCCCCAGCATGTAAAAAAATATAAAAGTAGCTCCAGCTACTATACCCACACTGTTCCCGAGGCTGTCCTTTGCGACTCTGCAAGCACCAGACTTCTACTGGGCTGAATAAGGCTCAGCATCAGTATCTTACGTCCCATGAGCCCAGGGTATCAAGGGCCCACCCTGGACTTATAGGATAACACACACACACACACACACACACACACACACACATATAATTAGCTGTTGACTGCTACTAAACTAAAGCAATAGTTTCCAAAACGCAGCCACATACCTGAGGGACTCAGTGCGATTAAAGTGTCTGCAGTCCGATGCCAGGAAAAGCTGATCCAAGTCATGGACCATCAGGTGCTTCACGTTAGCCAGTGACGCACTAGCATTACTGCAAGAAACAAGAAATCGCAAATGTATATACCACAGATATATTCTACACAACTCATATCAAGGCAGAGTGACAGTTGAAGCCCACAAATGTCATCTAACCCTGGGACCCTTCTCTAAAAAGCTAATTCCCTTGTCTATGGAGATAGGAAAACAATCAAAGAAATCCTTCCATTGCCGTCCCTATAACCAACCACCTCATGACTCAATCATACCACTGAAGTGTCTTTCAAAATGTGTTTTAATTCTCCGTATATTTAAAAAAAAAGTGTTACTATACATATATAAAGTTCAGTGATTTGTCCTTTTTATTACGAAACCAAAATGATGGTCTTGGTAAAAAGTATAGAAACATAATTTGCACAGCAGATCCCAACAGCTACACACTTGGGTATGATCCATCAGAGAAGGTCTCCTTGGTCCTTAAAGTGGAAGTAAAGTCAGCACGTTAAGTGGTCCTAATATAAAAGCACATTGTAAATATTATCTGTTGCTATCCTCATTTGCAAAAGCTATTGCAATTGTGAGATAGTTTTTTATTTTCTCAGTAACGTCACTGGCACCAGCGTGGTTTGTTGCATATTCTTAACATCCAGGCTGTGCTGAGATGTGAACAGCGATATGCCAGGAAGACGTTATCACAGATCCCCGCCCGGCATTGGCGTTCACTCTCAGGAGTCTTTTAGTGTTTACTAGCAGAAAAGGAAAATAGGAAGGAGCGCTCCTTACTTTTTTCCTTTTCTGTTCATTATTATACAGTTAGACACCTCAGTCTAAAAATATAAGGAGCCCCCCCTCCCCCTCCCTAGGAGTACGCTAGCCAATCGGTCTTAACTTTCTAACTTTCTAGTGTTTACCAGCAACATCACAGGGGTGGTAAAGAGCCACCTCCTTTTCCTAATGCATTGCTGTGTTGAAATTTAAAGCAAGGCTTGGATCCTTTCAGTCTACTCATGCGTATTATTTGCGTAGCCGTGGAAGGTGGAGACGTAAACGCTGAGACTCAGTAAAGATGACACCGGCTTCAGCAGGAACAGGGGTGAAACAGACTATACCGTGTGTTTGGAGCATTGGTCAGTCATTGGATGAACTAAAGAAATAGAAAGTTTTTGTGTGTGCGGGGGACACCAGACTTTACTTCCACTTTACCGGCTTAAAACACATTCAATTTTTCTTTTAATGAATAATACTGGAGTAAAGGATATTTATTTCATCTGCCTGGAGCTCTGCTTTAAATAAGAACTCTAGGCAAATAAAAAAAAAAAACGTACCCTTGCAGTGTGGCTAACCCTGCACTACAATAAAGCTGTTCTACCTACCTGATCCTGGCTCCCGTGGCAGTCAGCGCTCACCTCCCTTCCCTTCTGCTCCAGCTATGGAATGTACCTTGGCGTTCTCACATCTAATGCAGGTCAATGGACCTGCAAAAGGCGTGATGACGCCAGCAAACCTTAGACCAGGGAAGAAGAGGCTGTAGGACCCGGCCTGGCAGCCTGGAGGGAGCTGGCAGGACTGAGCATCAGCTGAGTGTATCTGCCTTATTCCAGCCCCCTAAACAAAATGAGCACTTAACCCTTGCAGTGCGGGGATAGCCATCCCTCCACCCCCACTGCAAGGGTAAATCTTTTATTTGCCCTGAGTTGTTGTTTAACAATTGCAGCTACCTGTAAGTGCTCTTCGGTTTAGCAGGACGGGGCGTGTAGAGCTTCGTTTGCGGCAGCTTCGATGAGTCGTCTTCATTTTTGTAAGACAATAAGTGCCGAACGTTGCTGGATATTTCTGGGCTTTTCACAGACTCCTCCTGTACACTGGGTATGAAACTGACAGAGAAACACGAACAGCGTATTATTAATGCCCTCTAACCTGAAAGAAGCACCAACCGAAAATTATTAAAAGGAACAGTAGCAACACATTTTCACTAAACCTGGAGGAGGATGCTAAACACATCTCTAGTGCTTTTAAAAGGGTATACCTGGGCAAAAGAAACATATGCAATACATCTCTGCAATACATGCTCATTTCCCTATGTGTTATCTCTTTAAAAACACTGCGGAAGTATAGTGGATAATCTGCCAGAAATCCAGGGAGCTCCTAACTTTCTCTAGTGGGCTGACAACGCTGCCTCTCCTAAAATGAAATCCAAACTAGCAATGTCAGGTCTTTCGACTAGACTACAGAGCTCCCCCCATCCCCCACCCCTCTCTGTCCCTCTCCATATGCATACATTGATTACTTTTCCAGCAACCTTGACTCTCAACGGCCTGCCCACAACACTGTGTTTAGGTAAATGAGCACTTGGGAGATGTAGTATGGGGGTGTCTACATTAATAGGAATTCAACAAAAAGTGTGTCCCATCACACTCCTGACCGGAATGAAAACCCAGTATAGGGCGGGTGCTGTAGTGACAGCAGATGCCTCTGCGAAAACATGCAAAAATTGTATGGAAAGTCACTTGCACTCCAGATAAATACCAAGTCAATCTCTTTATTGACTGTAGTGGTGTCACATATCAAAGCGACGTCTTTTGCCTGAAAAGGGACCACTTGGCTCCGAAACGTTGCTTTGATATGCGACACCACTACAGTCAATAAAGAGATTGACTTGGTATTAATCCGAAGTGCGAGTGACTTTCCATACGATTTTTACATTAATAGGAAATCGCCTCTCAGCAGCTGCCCCTGCAAGAATTTTACAAGCCCGGTGATGTTAGTCAAATTCCACTGCGCCTGTTCTGTGACAGTGAAGATGTTTCATTACTCCTCCAAGTGATGATACGTCTTCAGCGGTACAAAACAAGAAAGAGTACTAATGAGAGTATTTTCACTACTGAACAGCAGTTTCTGACTCACCTTGTTGGTCCAAAGTTAAAGGCAAGGAACAGAAGTACAACCATCACACATACTACTTTCCGATTCCCGGAGGAGCCGCGCAGTGAGGTGTTCTGTAGGAATACAGAGGCAAAGTACAAAATCAGATTTGCAAGACGGGATACTTGTAATGGTGACTGTAATGTCAAAGGGGGGGGAAAAAAAGGTGAAACGTTAACACAAAACAACAGGCACTGTGGAGCAATTCATCCTCAAGGATTTCAGGTAATGCAGTGATGTCATTCAAGTCAGCACTCTGCTCCCCCCTCCCAGAGCTCTGTGTATACACTACACTTTAGAAAGCTGTAGCAATGAGTGGAAATCTGAGACCATGTGACCTATGCCCCCCAAGGGGTCAGCTGTTCCGAGTCCTGGCAAGACAATCACTAATAATGTGATTTAATAATGCTAATATGCGCCCTACAGATGCACGTGAATTTAATGAAATGCTGTTTTTTTTTCTCTCTAAATACCTCTCTCATCAGATGCTGCACTGTCTCCCGCAGTTCTCTGTTCTCCCGGCGAGCGTTCTCCAGCTGTCTCTGCGTCTCCTGCAGTCTGCCCTCCAAGCCCTGCACATATTCCTTCTTCTTCCTCCGAGACTGGCATGCCGATTCTCGGTTCTTGATCATGCGCTGCTGTCTCTTTAAGAGCTTAGGCTAGAGGGAATAATGGAATTACACGCGTGTTATTGTCAAAGATCATCATCATAGGCCTCAACCCTGCAATATATATGGTACCCCGCAACATCTACGGAACCCACCCTGCAACATCTACGGAGCCCACCCTGCAACATCTACGGAGCCCACCCTGCAACATCTACGGAGCCCACCCTGCAACATCTACGGAGCCCACCCTGCAACATCTACGGAGCCCACCCTGCAACATCTACGGAGCCCACCCTGCAACATCTACGGAGCCCACCCTGCAACATCTACGGAGCCCACCCTGCAACATCTACGGAGCCCACCCTGCAACATCTACGGAGCCCACCCTGCAACATCTACGGAGCCCACCCTGCAACATCTACGGAGCCCACCCTGCAACATCTACGGAACCCACCCTGCAACATCTACGGAACCCACCCTGCAACATCTACGGAACCCACCCTGCAACATCTACGGAACCCACCCTGCAACATCTACGGAACCCACCCTGCAACATCTACGGAACCCACCCTGCAACATCTACGGAACCCACCCTGCAACATCTACGGAACCCACCCTGCAACATCTACGGAACCCACCCCGCAACATCTACGGAACCCACCCTGCAACATCTACGGAACCCACCCCGCAACATCTACGGAACCCACCCTGCAACATCTATGAAACCCACCCTGCAACATCTATGAAACCCACCCTGCAACATCTACGGAACCCACCCTGCAACATCTATGGAACCCTGTAATATCTCTGGTCTATACACCATGGAGCGACCATCAGATGGCTAAAAATGTACTCAGGATGCAGCTTGATGATGCCCTAGGCACTAATGGCACCACAAAGAGCCTCAAGTCATTCATTCCAAGACAAAGGCTGCCAAGACACTAATCTGTTAAATGGTATCTACAGCAACAACCTGTCTTTCTAGTTTGGGATGAGGTTGAGAAGGATGAGGACTGAACCTCTGTCAGGTTTTTGGGGAGATTCACACTCTATATTTTTCCTGCTGATCATTGTCAACCCAAATGTTACTGTTGTCACTAGAACAAAAATCGAGAGGAAATCTTCCAACAGGCACCCCCATTCTAATGACAGCACTCACTTTGGAGGTGTTTCCACTCACTTCCTGCTTACCCTGGGCTTTCCCTACTCCATCCCAAACAAAAAGATGTTACATATACTTTAAGGCCACATTTACACCGGAGTGTTTTGCTGTGCATTACTTGAAACACAAAAATGCTCAACATGAAGTACGGAGGATGGTATTTGTCCAATAAGTGCAAAAAAATTGCCGGTTGATCTTGCCAGAAATCTTGGGAGCTGACGATATTCTGTGCTCATTGTCTTGCAGCAGTCCTATCAGTTATTATTATTCACAGCTCTCTTTGGACTAGAGAACCCCTCCTCTCTGTGTTAAGGAGAAGAGGGGGAGGTTATTATAGACGTGTCCTAGGGCGCCAACACTGCTCCTCCATAGATACGGTATGGTCATGGATCATTGTGACCCTAAACTAGCAAATGTGTTACAGGCAGGATCACCAATAAGAGAGGGGGGAAAAAGAACCGAAAAAAAAAAAAGAAAAAACGAATGCGGCCACCACATCTAAGGACTGGCGAGCTACAATATATAAAAATGTGTTCCTGGGTTTAGAAGCATGATTCCAGGGAGGAGAGGAGTGGAGGAGATTCAGATATAAATATACAGCTTGCTTTGTAATATAACTTAAATCACCCCCCTCCTTCCTCCAATACTTACGTCCACCTCAGTAGGGCTGCTCTTGCCAGTGCTCGGGGCAGGCACAATGGTCTTGGCTTCAGATTTAACAGGTGATGTTGCATGTCCTCCATTTTGTACGGTCAGGAGCTGAGGCACCAACACAGGTGAAGAAGCTGCAGAGGGAACGAGACACCATGTCAGCTTATCTATACACAACAGATGACGACATTGGTCAATGAATGGGTTGGGCTTAAAGGGGGTTCCCCTCCACTCTTTTCACTTACTGGAGTGAAGAGTGTGGGGGGAGCATGAGACACATTCCCCTTCCTCCCAAGATGCAATGCTGCATTCCTGAGCAGCCAATGCCAGGCCTGAGCACTGGGTTGGGGCTAGAGTCATTAGACCCGTGCTAGCTCCAAGCAGATTAACAAGGAACGAACAAAGGTATTTAGAAGCAGTGCTATCCCTTTAATGGCGCCTTGCATGGGTACAGGTTCACCTTAAAAGTAATCATACACAGGCAGACTTTACCAAGCCCAGGTTCATCACTACCTATTATTTGTGGATCCACAATAAAAGCTAAACTCCGGGATAAGCAAATATTGTCCAAATACAAGAGTCATGTGAATTCTTCCTTGAATCATGATGCATGTGTGTATTTCTTCCAGATCTGTGCAGTAATCTGAGCTTCCTGCAATAAAGACCGGCCATTGCTGCTGCTCCCTCTCCTTGTACAGGGTGATTGGTCTGGTCTCCGCCCCCTCCTGTAATAAAGACCGGCACTGCTGCTCTCTCTCCTTGTGCAGGGTGACAGGTCTTGTCTCCGCCCTCTCCTGTAATAAAGACCAGTCACCGTTGCCCTCTCTCCTTGTGCAGGGTGGCTGGTCTCATCTCCGCCCCCTCCTGTAATAATGAACGGTCACTGCTGCTCTCTCATTGTGCAGGGTGACTGGTCTTGTCTCCACCCTCTCCTGTAATAAAGACCAGTCACCGTTGCTCTCTCTCCTTGTGCAGGGAGACTGATCTCGTCTCCACCCCCTCTTGTAGTTTCCTGCAGGCAGCCTGTAGTGGGTGGGGCCTGCTGGTTCCCTCCTACAGCTCGGTCCTCTGCACAAGCTATGTACAGCACAGTGATGATATCACAAAGTAATCATTGAGATTGCAAAGGCATTTGGTGCACACAAAGTGGATTTATATCCTTTGTGCCTATTGAAGAAAATATTTCAATGAAAGTTTTTGCGCCCGGAGTTCAGCTTTAAGAATTCATAGAGAACTTAAGGCTTTATTGATGCATAGCCTTCGTGTCTCTTCTATGTCACCAGTGCCTTGACAATGAACAGGCCAGAGAGTGGCCCACCCAGAAGACGTTAAGAATGCATATTAAACAATGGACAAACTCGTGATCAATTGCAGAAGGCACGTGGAGCCCAGAGCGGCCAAACGATTCTAATCAGCTATTAAATTAATGAGCAATGTAATAAACAGGAACATCTGTGTACAAACAGCAGATCCCGGGCCAAGCCACACTATTCCCTCAGCTAGCAAATATGGCAAGCAACTACAGAGAGCTTGCCTGCAGAGCTGACAATCCTCCGTGGAGTACAGAGGCTGCACAGGGCGAGACGTTTGTAGAAATTAGGCCAAGCTGACGCTATTTATAGCTAATAGATAAGAGTGATGATTCAGCGTTGAACGTGCTGCACCACTCGTGGGCGATCGGGACATGTTTTTCCCATAACAGACACAGAATTCGGGATAAGCCAAAACACAGCAAAGGCAGCCAATGGACAGGATGATATGAAAGCTGGAGGGAAAAAGTACGCTGCCTGCAGCAACCAATCAGACCACAGCTGTCATTTTACCAGCCAGTGGGGTGTGATGGGTGCAGGTGAAGGAAGGGGCCACTTCCACTTATCTATGGCACCTCTGTCTTCTAAAATTGCTAGCAACCCGTCTGTCATGCTGATCCTCAACTTCAGTACTTTCTGAGTCAGAAACAAGTCTCCCGATTAGACGTCCTAACCTCGCTTGTTTTAGGTAAATAACATGGAATGTCCGGACGTCAGTGACAGCCTGCATATTATAGGAAGGCAACAGCAGCCTAACCATTGCTCTTAGTAAAGGGCTTTTTAAAGCGTACACAAATGAGTCCAGAATTGAAGAGTCAGTAAAGAAGACCTTGTAGCCAATGTGCACTTTTAAAATGACTGCCACTTGCCCCAAATAATCCGTAGAAGAGCTCCCTCAAATAGTAGAATGTAAATATTCAACTTTTAACGAGTCTCATCACCTCTGTCTTCCAGCAAAGCCTTCAGCATTCAAAACGTCCAGGAGTGTGGACTGCCTACAACCTCCACTCCACTGCTCAGTGCTTCCACCGCACTGTGCTTCATTCTGCCGCCCTCTACTTCACTACTGTGCCTTGATCAGGGGAAGGAAACACCACATGTGATGGGGGGAGGAAGGCATTTAGGGCTGCAGCTATTATTTTCATAACCTATTAGTTGCCTGATTAATTTTTCAACTAATTGCTATATATGCTCCCTGCCTCTCTCTCTCTCTCTCCCTCCCGGCAATCAATATTCCAGGAAGTTGCGAATGCTGAAGACTTCATTGAAAGAAAATCAGCTCTGGCTACAAAGCTTACCCTCTATCTGGAGTTGTCTCCTGCAGTACCTCTTTTTACCACAAGATGCCCTCAGTCTTCCAGGCTGAAGTACATCCAGCATCATTCACCCAGGCTGATTAAGTTCCGGGGTGTCATGTTCCCACCCCTTTAGCATGAGGTCCTACACTAACAGTGTATTGATGCAGAGAGTGGCGCTTATGTCACCACATCACCGCTTTCTACAATATCCGGGACCACCCACTGCCAGGCAAAGACCAAAAAGGTAAGGGACCAAGTGTGTCATGTGACCGGGCAGAACACTTTAGAAAAAAGGGGAGCAGGGAGCATGGAGTTCAGCTTTAAGCTCAGTTTAGTGTTTGGACTAACCCTTTAGGGGCAATGGCGACAGTTCTAAATAGCAAATCCACAAACATTTATTCCCAAATTCCATGACCCTTTTAAAAGGAACTTTATGGTAAATTCTGTAGACATTTCGACCTAGAGCTTACACAAGGATCAGGACTCTCTCTCTACCACCATGTGATTACACTGGGTGTTGGAGCGGCCAATCACCAAGCCGCAAAGCTGACACATGGAAGGTAATGGAAGAACCACATGCTCCCCATACATGATGTACTGGCTTTATCTATTTGCTCCTGGCAGCCAAAAAGGCCAGTGGAAGTATTAATGAAAGGTAATGTGTGAATGGTGGGGGCCTCCATTAAAGTGAACCTGTTGATTTGCCCTATGTGGGACACGCTCAGGTTCCCTTTAAGAGCAATGATTAAGATGAGCAGCAGTTATCCCCGTGGGCAGCCAGGAGCCGCCTATTAGTGAAGTAAGCATCTTGGTAGTAACACATAATAAATGTCCTGCCAGCAATGAAATCATTGTATGGAGAGCACATTCATACACAGGGGCTTGTTTGTTAGTAGCTGCCTGATTCACAGAACTCTCTCGTACATCTCCGCAGGACACACAGGATTCCCAGGAGCAATGCAGGGACTGCAGACAGCAGCAATAAAACAACAAGTCAGTGATTGCTGGGAAGCACCCAGGACTCCTGGACGGCCTACACCCTTCCTGTTCTAGCATTAAAGGGCCAGGACAACCAACAAGACGCTTTACACAATGAAGGAGACCCCCCGACCTCATTTACAACAATAAAGACGTCCGTTACACATTCACCAGCTAGATTTGCATAGCTGCAGTCATTTTAGCTACCTTTTGCTGATTCATACCTACTCCCCTTTTGAGGATATAATGCAAGCTGTGGAAATGCTGCGGCTGATTGTTTTGCAAACTGAGTGCCAAGTTGGAGGCCCAGAATTTAAATCTGTGGCTAAATCTGACATTTGAAACTCAGCTGAAGTTTCATAACCTCGTCTCTTTATAGTCGCTGTATGTTAAGATTTTTAACCGATTTTTACTAGGAAAAGCTTTTTCTGCGGATACGTTCTCCAGTCCCTGCCCTCCCACTGCAGTGCTCTATGTTGGCAGAGATGAGTAATGGCCACACCCCTTGTCACAAATGTCCTGATGAACACATGTAAAGCTGAGGAAGAGAGGGGATGTGTCTGACCAAGACTGTTAGATTAAGGAGCGCACTGGACGGGGAGGTCAAAGATGATGCCTACTGTACTGCTCAGTCATTAGTTTTTGGCGCAACGGTTACAAACTTAGCAACAGTGTGGCTGTGCAAGAGCTGACTGTAGTGCTGCTGTAGTAAAGGAGGATCCTTCTGTAATCCAAACACCCTCCATCCCCTTTCACCAAAGCCCCAGACCCTATCCCCCCACTCTCCACCCTGCACCTACATACACCCAACCCTCAGCAAGGAAGCAAAGCCCTTCTCCCGCAAACATGCATGCATGCTGACCCCCCCCCCCCAAAGATACTTGTAGCTGTTATGTGTGATATATAGCTGCTTGGAAAGTGGAAAGGTGTTACCAACCAAACGTTTGTGGACACCTGATCACACCTACCTAACAAAAAAGTATGTGGAAACCCCCAAATTATTTCAAGTGTTTCTAGTACAGGGTAGAGTTAATGCTACAGCATACAAAAGATACTTCAGAAAATTGAGAAAAGTCTCTTTCTGCTCCACCAAGGCCAGGTCAATAAAGACAAGTTTGGTGAGGAGAAAATCAAGTGTCCTGCACAGAGCCCTGACCTCAACCCTACTGATCCCCATTGGGATGAATTGGAATGACTGTGAGCCAGGACTTCTCATCCAACATCAGTGCCGACCTCAACCCTACTGATCACCTCTGGAATGAACTAGAATGTCTGTGAGCCAGGTCTTCTCATCCAACATCAGTACCCCACCTCAACACTACTAATCCTCATTGGGATTAATTGGAATGACTGTGAGCCAGGTCTTCTCATCTAACATCAGGACCGACCTCAACCCTACTGACCACCTCTGGAATGAACTGGAATGAACTGGAATGTCTGTGAGTCAGGTCTTCTCATCCAACATCAGTACCTGACCTCAACCCTACTGATCAGTACCGACCTCAACCCTACTGAACACCTCTGGAATGTTTGTGAGCCAGGTCTTCTCATCCAACATCAGTACCTGACCTCACAAATGTTCTTTTGGCTGAATGGGCACAAATTCTTATAGACACACTTTCCACTCTTGGAAAGTCTTTTAGAAGACAGGAGGTTTGGGGAGGGGGGGCAACTTTATATTTATCCCCTTGGGGGTCCAACAGACCCCTACAGGTGTGATGGCCAGGTATCATATATAGAGCATATGGAACCTGGGTACTGTTTTATGTCTGTGTTGTTTGAAGAGAACTGTATCAATGGCCATTTTAGTGGAAGGTGAGAACTGCATTTATATCAGATTAGAGACATTCTCTTTCTTGTTTCCCTCCTTAGCAGGTCATTGAGAAAGGTACACATTGCCAGCTTACGGTGCCTCCTATGCCCCAGTAAGATTAGTGTATATAGCCTATCCTAATGATTGATTCACTTTAACATTATGATGAAATGTGTCACCAGAGCCTCCTGGGTTATGCATCCTCAATACAATTCTGAAAAGAGCAATAGTGACACCTGCTGGTATTGGGAAAAGAGAATACATGTTATAAATGCACAATGAAATGTGTAAAAGCTGCACACTCAGTCTATCCCCATGAAATATACATGTCATACAGCATTCCTGCTCTTAATGACAACGTGGCAAAGAACAATCAATTGAAGGTTCAGACACACTCAAGGCAAACGTCACTAGCTGCTAATTTGAAGAAAAAAATCCAGGAAAACCTTTTGTTAACCCCCGCATTGCATGGATTAAAGGAGAACTATGAGGTGAGTGCTTTTCACTCATCTCATAGTTCTAGCCGACCTGTGACAATGAGACTGTCACAGGTCGGCTCAGTAGATCGGGAGGTGAGCGAACACATACCGGCGTTCGCTCACTTCTCGATCCTGTCACGGCTCTCTGCCGTGACAGGGGAGGAGCTGGATTCTCCCCTCCCTGCTCCGATCCTCCAGCGCTGACTGGCGGAACAGACGGGGGAGGGGGCGGGTACTGCTGGCTCTGCCTCTACATAGGCAGAGCCAGCTGTCACTCACGCAGCTGGGCGGATCCCGACATAATTGTCGGGATCCGCTGCGGCGTCTCAGTATACCGCGAGCTGTAGCTCGCGGTATACTGAGCTTAGGGTGACGGGAGGACGCTAGTTTGTGTCCTCCCGTTACCCTAAGGAGAACTATGGGGAAAAGCCCTAACCCCATAGTTCTCCTTTAAGTGCTCGTTTTTTTGCTAGGTTCAAAAATAAAGTTATACTTACCAGAAGCTCCGAGCCGGCCAGCTGTAACAGCGCTCCCTCCACCCTGTCTTCTCCTACACTGCAGCATTGGAATTTCCCTTGGCATCCTAATGTCTATACACTATGTATAGAACGTGATGATTTACAGGACCTTAGACCACTGCACAGTTGGGGGAGAGAGGCTCTAGGGACCGGCCAGAGCATTGTGGGGGGGGGGAGTATAACTTTTCTTTTTTTTAATCCAGACACAAGCAGTTAACCCTTGCAGTGCCAGGAGAGCCCCACTGCAAGGGTTAATACAATTTTTCCTGGGGTTCTTTAACACTGTAGAGGTGGGAGGAATTTACAAGTTTTATGTAGAAAATCACAGAAACACTCTTATAGGAGAGGAAACGCCTACATTCCTCACAAACTCAACGTAGGCACTGATTATTAAAAATGACCAAATATGTTATTGAAAATATATTATTATTATACAGGATTTATAGAGCGCCAACAGTTTGTGCAGCGCTTTAGCGCCAACAGTTTTGTGCAGCGGATAGGAGACCAACACATTTCAGAGATCTGCATCTCCTTCCTCAGAGCTAGCAGTTCACATTCTATAAAACAGATCAGTGTGGGATATAGGAAAGGCTGACACTCATCCTCAAACAAAATATCTATAGCAGGGCTAACCAACCCTCAGCACTCCAGCTGTGGTGAAACTACAAGTCCCATAATGTCTCTGCCTCTTGAAGTCATGCCTGGGGCAGTCAGAGTCTTGCAGTTCCTCATTGGACTTGTAGTTCCACCACAGCTAGAGTGCTGAAGTTGCTTACCCTTGATCTATAGTATAAATAATATAAATAATTAGGATAAATCATAAATTAAATTCACATTCAACTGAAAAAAAGGAAAAATGACACCAAAAAAAATAAAATATGTTTCTATACCTGTGAGCTATATAGGAAGATGACATTCACTATATAAAAAGATCCATCTACCTATAGATATAGATCTACATAGATATAGATCTACATAGATATAGATCTACATAGATATAGATCTACATAGATATAGATCTACATAGATATAGATCTATATAAATATAGATCTATATAGATATATATACACACACACACACACACACACACACACACACACACACACACAGCAATGGGAATCAGGTTTCTTGTAATGCAGGTTACACAATCAAAGCAGACAATTGTTGGCTAGCTGTGGGGAACATTGGGTTTTTTCTTCCTCTTTTTTTAGAACCTGCAGAATTTTTCCAAAATGATCAAAAAACCCGACCTTCTATACCAAAGTATTTTGCCACAGAATAAACAATGAGATTTTTCTGTCCATTTCTAAAACTGGAATAGTGACAGCACCTGTGCAATGACATGTACAGCAATCATTTCAGACATTTTAAAGTGGCCCTGTCACTTCTATACAAAAGCAGAGCTGCTATAAGGATAGCTGGTAACCTTTCCAGCAGCCTAGATTTCTAGATTAAAG